GGGTGGGCGCGGGTTGCGACTGACGTGCCTCCCAGCCAATGAGCGCTCCAGTGTCCCGCTCGCCCTGCCCCTTCTGGCTAGACAATGGGGGAAGTCTGGCCCCTCGGGCTCGGCCGGGCTCGCAAAGGGATGCCCTGGGAGCATGCGCCTCGACGCAGGGCCTGCCGGAACTTGTAGTCCAGGAGGCCGGGCCCCAGCGTGGGTGGCTGGGAAAGGGTAGTGGAGGGGGTTGGCCCGGAGCGTGTTCCTGAACTCGGAGAAAACTTTTTCCTTCCTCCAGACGTCCTTGCAGACGACGTGCAACTGGGGCAACTGACTCCTTTGGCCCCTCATCTTCATTTTCCTGATCGTTATACCACTGACCTGGTGATTGCTGTTATTTTACTGTTGATAGTTCCGCGGGACACCACTTTGACCGTTCTCCAGGACGCCAGAGGCACTTCCCACCGCCATGCACTGATCTTGGCTGTGCGATCACTAAGGAATAGTTTCCTCAATCCCTAGCCCCTGGGGAACTCCCACACATCCTTGAGTACCCAATATGGAATGTGTAGAAGCACAGAGTTTTAGGAGTGCCATTAGGCAAAAAGAGGGACAGAGACCCAGCAAAGAGAAGAGGGCCTGTCTCAGGAGGTGGGACAGCAGAGCATGGGACTCGATTTGGGCTTTCAGAATGAGGAAAGAGCCGCCCCTGCAGGGAACAATGTATAAAGAAAGCTGCACCAACCTCCACTCTCAAAGACAGTAAGTCTGTCCCCACCCACCTCCCAGGTCCCCTATTCTCATCTGGACAAAAATTTCTGAAGCTGAACTTCTTTCTAGGCTGCCCTAGGCTCCAGGCTGTCCTAGGCTCAAGGCTGGGCACCAACAATTCCCAGTTTAGGTCGGCCAGGCTTCAATCCTAGTGGCTGTCAAGGGAGGTGGTTTCTGACCTCTAGACAGTTGCCAAGCAATAGGGGCATAACTATTAGGCCATATCCAATTCTATTAGTGTTGAATCTGGAAAAGAGGTAAATAGGTTGAGGAAGCAGGAAGGTGAGGAGGATGATAAGAACGACAAAATTAAAGTTTGTGGTTGCACTACTCAAACCACATTACAAATGATTTAACAATAGTTCTATGGGGGGAGGGGAGTGCTATAATAGCAATGTTATCCTAGTTTTACAAATGAGGAAGCTAAGACAGAAGAGCAAAGGCAAGAGGGGCTTAGACCTGAGTTGTGGGCAGAGCTGGCTAGATTAAGAAGATCCAGATCCCTCCAGCCACCTCACACCCAGCAGAGGCACCTCAAGCAGCCTGGTCATGGTCCCCTGCCCTGCCACCCACTGGCTGAGTGATAAGGATTCAACCCTAGTTGCTTCTTCCACAGAATGAGGGCATCACACGGGGAAGTTTTTCATTCACATCTCAACTTCATCATTTAGAAGCTGAGCAGCTTAGAGCAGGTTTCTTAAATTCTTTTGTGTCTCGGTTTCCCTGTCTGTACCTATCTCAAACGTTTGTGAAGATGAGTTGAGAGTTGATTAATACATGTAATGTCCTTCGAAGGTATATTGCAGACAGGACAAGCCATGTGTTAGCTGTTATTATAGTTCTTGCTAATTGCTATCTGAGCCGTTCCCCTCTATCACTCTGGGCAAGTTCCTGCTCTTCCTCATTCTCTATTTCTAGTCTCTGAAATGGGACTTAGTCATCAGACAGTAAGCAGTCATCCCTCCTGCCCCACACCCCCAGTTTACCCCCAGGGAATGGGACAGAGAACCCAGAGTTCACTGTGCTGTGATAGGGATGATTGGGGGCTGTGGGAATACCAAAGCAGCATCTGACCCAGGGCAGGTGTCCTGTTGGAAGTGGGGGGAGGCGCAATTCAAGTTGGGTTGCACTAGGTAAGAAGTTTAAGGGATGAAAAGGACTGGGAGCAGAGTCCCATGACAAACAGGCTCTTCAAAGTGTCAGAACCTGGCTCCCCCTACATACTTGTTAACAATGTAGTCTAGGTTCCCCAAATGTGAATGCCTGGCAAGTGGGGCACCAGGACCTGGATTTTAAGCCAGCCCTTTACCAGGTGACTCTGAGCCCCAGCTTGGTCTCACTCTGGTAGGTTGAAGGGCATTAAATTGGTACACCAGGTATACATAGGTGAAGTGAGGTGTAGGCAGACAGGTCCAGTACAGCCACAGAGCCAGGTAGGGTTTAAGAATGGCACTGAGAAGGGTACCAGCTTCTGATTCTGGGGCACTAATGACTGTTTGTCTCTCCCCTCCCGTTGATCCAGAGGCAGCTCAGGCCTATGATTACCATGGTAGCCCAAGGCAACAGAGCCAGACTGCCAAGTTTGCTTATTGCCGGAAGCAGGAAACTGAGGCCCAGGGGAACCCAGACAAGGGTGTGAACACCAGGTTTTCAGTGATTTCAGGCACCCCACACCTACCTGGGGAGCTGGGGGACACAGGAGGGCACCTGAGTCAGCAGTCAGCAGCCCTGGAAAGAAAAGCTGGTTCCTCCTTCAGCCTCCCAGACTAAGGTCAACCTCAGGCCAGGGAGGGGCTGCTACCTCCTTGTCATTTCCTGGGTGGGGTGGCCTCTCCTACACCTCCTCCTCCCAGGCCACCCCAGAGCTCTGGTCCAGTTTTGGGGTGGGTCCCAGTTCTGACTTCAGATCCCAAAACATTCCTTGGCTACCTAGGTGGCCATTTGTCCACCTTGGCCTTAGTTCATTCAGCCGAAAATACAGTGAGGACTGAGAAAACAGAAGTTGAACACAGGACCTGACTGGGTCTGTACCTAATGAGCCAGTTGCTTTTAAGACCCTCACCCAGGACATACTGGGCACCTCACCAGTCTTCAAATGCACCAAGCAACTTCCTGCTTCAGGACCTTTGCATTTGCTATTTCTGTGGTTTGACCACTTTATCCCAGGTTTTCATTTAGCCAAATCCTTTCTCTTTTGGGTCTTAAAATAACACGTGCTTAAGGAAAATTCCCGTATTTTCTCCACTCCTGGTGTCCTCTTCTGCCTGGTTCTTCTCCTCCTTCTCACCCACCATTTATCTAACTTCTTCATGTGTATATTGCTTGCCTCCCACTTTGAGAATGAATACAAGGGCTGGGTTTTTAACCGTTCATTGCTGTGTGTGTCCCCACTGCTCAGAACAATACCTGGCACACTAAGTGCTTCACACACACTCTCATTAAAAATCAAGCAAATATGCAAAATGTTAACATGTGTGGATGGTGGGTGCTTGTATGGCTTCTCTGTTGAGCATTTTCCCATTTGTTTGAAATATTTCATTAAAAATAGTAAAACAGGGACCTCCCTGGTGGCACAGCAGATTGAAGCACAGCACTGAGAAGCTTAAGCCACTTCTGCATAAGTTTGATCCCTGCCTGTCCAGGAGATCTATATGGCGTGGCAGACCTCTCCTGACCCGCCCGCTGCTCCCCTCAGCAGTGTACTTCATCGATCTGCCTGTTCTGCTCCCCACTCTGTCTCTGGTGAATCCTCTCACCCTTTGCATCTCTGGCCTGTGCCCCAGTTCTGTATGAATAAATCTTTAAAAAAAATAGTAAAACAAAAACATTATTTTGTGCTGTTTAGAAGTCTACATGGTAGCTCTACAGGGGGCAGGTGGCTATAGAGGTGTCTCTGATCCATGGTGGCATGCATTAAGGACATCCTCAGAGGCTGTACCCCAGTAAATGCTGTATTTGTGTTTTATCTTCTTATATCTTTGTAATGGTGCTGGAAGCAGGTACAAGGATGATCCCGATCCCACTTTATCAACTGAAGTGGAATCTTAGAGGAGTGACTTGCTCAAGGTCACCTAAAGAGAAAAGGAGTAATAGGAAAGCCCCAGAGGGAGGTTGAGCAGCAGCAGTAAGTCAGTGGGAGGAAAATCAGGAGAGCCTAGCTGAAAAGTGGAAGGTCATGTCATCCACAGTTGGCACCACTCCTGGCCGAGGTCACAACTCTCTACTGCAGCCCAACCACACAAGCTTCTTCCTACAGGCCCAAAGATCAGAGGAGTGGCTGGGGTGGACAAAGATGGAGAAAGTGGGATGCAGACTGACTGGGAAACCACTGAGGAGCTAGAGTGGGGGAATGGGCCTCATCAAGTAGTATCCAAAATGAAGCTGGCTCAAAGTATTATCTGGGCCCCTTAGTCAACAGGGAACAGTATACTTGGCCTCTAGTAAAGGCTACACAGGTAGGCAGAGTGTTGGGACAGCCCTAAGGCTGTCATGGTACAAGAGCAACATGACCCCCAGGGTAATCCATGGGTCTCTGTACCTCCTGCCAGTGTTCCTTCTCCAGGTGCAGGACTGATTGTTGCCCTGAGTTGTGCTTTCCCAGGCTTGTGCTGGGCCGTAAGACCTAGGGATTTTGGTGGACCTGGGCAGGTGGCTATTGTCACATGCCTGTTGGGGAGTAGGACCTGTGTTTCCTTTCTATGTCCCCCCATTTTTTTTTTTAAAGATCTATTTATGCATACAAGAACTAGCGTACAGGCTAGAGGTGTGGGTGTTAAGAGGCGTCACCAGATAGAATGAGGAGCAGAACAGGCAGATTTACTGAAATACACTGCTGAGGGGAGCAGTGGGTGAGACAGGAGAGGTCTGCTGCGCCTTGTAGGTCACCTCCCTGGCCAGGGATCGAACTCGTGCTGCAGTGACTGAGGATTGCTTCATAGTGCTGTGCTTTAACCTGCTGCATCATCAGGGAGGGCCCTGTGTCCCCAAATTCTAATCCTGCCTCTGCCATTTCATCTCTCTGGGTTTCGTTACCTATAAAATGGGGCAAATCTTAATTGCTAGCATTTGTTAACACTGATCACTTGGTGCCAGACATCATAGTCATTCCTTTAATCCTTTGCTCATTATACAAAGAAACCAAGGTGAAAGAGGTCTGATCATTTTCCCACATAGCTACTACGCAGCAAAAGTCTCAACTGGAGTCCAGGCCCAAGTATGCTATTACAGGTCATAGTGAAAATTAAATAAGAAGATTCATAAAAGGCCTCATTCACCATAGGAGACCAAGTTAAGGGTGGGAGTTTGGTCCTAGTCTCCAAACCTGGCGTGAGAGCACTGGACCCACAAGCACACTGGAAGCCAAGGGTCTAGGAGGGCGCAGAAACAGCCCTGAGGGCACTGGATGGAAGCCAGAAAAGCTGGTTTCTAGGAGGTGGGGTTGCGGTAGAGGGCACTGTCCTTTGCAAAGGCTTATAGGGGAGGATGCCCTAGAGAGTTGGGGCAGAGAGGTAGTGGGGGTTCAGGTTGGAAGCTGATGGTCTCAGAGGGCAACTGATGGCATCAGCTTGTCTTTCAAGTCCTAGTACCCCTTCACATACCCATTAGCTGTCTGGGTTGTACAGAGGCAGCTGGGAGTCCAGGTTCTTACCTCTGGGATCCAGTTCCAAATCTAAACTAAGGGATAGCTGTGCTACACCACCCTGAAGCACCCCTACTTGGACTCTGCTGCCACCCTGTGGGTACAAGGGGGAAGTGCACTAAACAGCACCCCATACCTATTTGAAGTTGTCCAGCCCTTAGATGGACCAATGACCACCTGGCTGCCTGGAGCCATTCAATTGTTTGCAAATACAAAGGGTTTTGTATTGACTTTGACTGTCCTCAGCACACCAGCCCCAGAGATCATAGGCATGATCCCTTGTCAAAACTTCCTATGGGAAGCCTCCTATAAGAGCAATTGCCAAATTTTAAGAATTTTTGCAAGTCAGTTAACAGCCATTAAAAATGAGATTATATCCAATTAAAATACACTAAAATGTAATATTTAAAGCTAAACACTTCGTATTTCACTCCTGCTAAGGCTCTTTAATTTTCATTTATTGTACACATCTGTACAGTGGAAACATTATATAGTGACTTGTACTTGTACATCTCTCTTCACAACTCTGATGACCTTATGTGGGTATCTTGAAATGATGGGCATATTTTCTTCACCATGGAAATTGGCAAACACCACAGATTAAGTTTGACTTATTGTTATTTTTCTAGACCAGTGCCATCCAATAGAAATATAATGCAAGTCACAGTGATATTAAATTCTTGTGTAGCTAGATATAAAACATTAACACAAAACAGATGAAATTAATTTAAACGGCAATTTTATTTAACCAAAATATTATTTTAACATGTAATCAATATAAAGTAATATATTTTACATTTTTTCAAACTAACTCTTCACATTCCGGTGTGTATTTTACACTTAAATTAGCACTTCTCAATTCAAACTAGCCACATTTCAATCACAGCTGGATTTTCATGTGACTGCCATATTGGACAGCACAGGTCTAGATTTAAGAGGTGCTGAGGAATTCCAATCCAAGTAATGATTTGTCCCAACATGAGAAGTCAGGTCACATATCAGATTTAATGACAATAAACTTACTGGGAAAAAAAGTGTAGCCACCTGAACAGGGACCCTCAAAAGTTATCGTCCTAATCCCCAGAACTTGTAAATTTTTTTATGGTACAGTTTTTTATCTTATCTTACATGGGAAAATTATTTTGATTATCTAGGTGGACCGTAATCTAATCACAAGTGTCCTAATGAGAGGCAGAAAGAAAAGTGATGTGGCCATAAAGTCAAAAAATGTCAACAGCCTCCAAAAATCAAAAGGCAAAGACTAGAGCCCACAGAGATCCCAGTATAATTTTCAGCCCAGATACAGTAATTGTGGATTTCTGACCTCCAGAAATGTGAGGAAGTAAATCCTTATTGTTTTAAGCTACCCAGTTTGTGTTGCATTTATAGCAGACCTCAGAAACTAATACAAATTGATAGGATGCCACTTCACTTGTATATTGTATTATGGGTAGATTATCACTGTGGGTAGGCTACAACAAAATATAAGCAAAACAAAACAAACCAACAGAAGCATTCTTAAAGAAATGACTGAAAAATTTATAAGACTACTGTATATTTTATTACTTGTAATTTATGTGCTACATATCTTTTATCTCAGTACAACCTATAATCTCCTATGTGTGTATGTGTATCTACCAGGCCTGATTTGCATCCTCAGCACCTAGCAGCGCTTAGTACACAGTAGGACAAACAGTTTTGATTAAATGTGACTTTGGGCCTCAGTTTCCCCAAATAACAGAGTTGGAGGAAAGGGATGAGCTCCCCAAATGGGTAGGACTGATGCCAGACATTAAGAGCACCTACTGTGTACAAAACTGGCCTGGGACACAGATTGACAGGACTCACCATCTGGCCCAAACAGTTGGTGCCCAGAAGACAGCTAGTTAAAAGTCAGATTCAGGGAGTCAGTAGGGGACCCCAAAATTTCCTTCAACCCTAGTGGCCTTGGGAACTGCTCAGAGAATGATCATAGTCCCAGAGCTGAGGGGTCACGCAGACACTATACAGGTACAGACACTGAAGCAAGTGGCCCTAGAATGGTTAGATTCTCTTCCTCTACTCTCTCCAGTTCCTCAATCCTGCAGGCAAGGGGCCTCCTCCCTGCAGGGTCTGGGAAGAACTCATCGGGCTTTGACAGCTATAGGAGTCCCTCCTACCTCCTCAGGGAGCCACATGAGTCCCCACCCCATGACCTAGGAGTCAAGGGCTCAGAAACAGAATGGGGCTTCCCACCACGGCCATGTATAGTTTGGATAACCTCTGACAAGTCAGTTTCCCTCTCAGTTCACTCTCAGGGTATCCACAGCCAAGTCTGCCAAGTTTAGAAGATGTCCCTATAGGCCCAACTGGCTATAGATATGTTCATATCCTATCAGTGATCAGAAGGAATAAACCCTGACCCATTACTTGCTCCCCCTCTACTTTGTTAAACCAACAATTAAGTAGTTTGCCAGGTTTCCACAAGAATTTGACTAAGCAGACTTGCTCTGGACACTGGAAGCAACTAAAAGTCCAGGTCCAAGATCTGAAGGGACTAAAACCCTCCCTCAGGCTCAAAATGTCTGCCTCATACCCTGGTCCTATACCCTGTACAGTCCTAAAAGCAAGGATCAGAAAAGTTATGCTACAAATGGAGCCATAGTGAGGACTTGGTTACCACAAAGAACAAGAATTTAATGAGCAAAATCGCTTGCATATCTTCTGCAAAGGCTAAGCTCTTCCCTGTCTTTGCTCATGGCTTCACTCGCACATAACCTCCCCACAATCACCCACAGGAAGAGGGGCTTCCAGAATTCAGGAGGGTATGGTCCCGGCTCCTTTCAGTACACAGCTCCCTGGAAACCTAGACACACAATTTATGAAGTCATCCTCCCTGGAGTGGGCACCTTCAGTCCTCAGCTGAAGGCTGGGCATACAGGAGGCCTGTATCAGCAATTGGTGGTCTCCTCTGGGGTCTTGGTATGCAATGAGCTTTGTCACACCTTCCTCCCCCCACCAAACCCTGTTCAGAGTTTAAGGTCCTCTCTTATAACAGCATCAGACAACTGTTTCAAAATATATTAGATTTGGTTTTTATTGTAGAGCACACATATCAGGGCAAAGTGCTGCACACACAACTACAAATCATTTTTGGGAAAAAAGCTGTAAAAAAAATAAAACTGCAACTTGCTTTAGTTATGCAGTCCAACTTGAGGAATCCACGATGGCAAAGGAGTTCTGACCCCTGAGAGGGGCTTCCTGATGGTGGCTGGCCCCATTTCTGCAGCCTCAGGCCTAGGCCTCTGTAAGACAAGGTCCCCATATATGGGCCTCTGTTCTCAGTGGCCTGGGTCTTGGCCCTGGCTAGCAAGAAGATATTCCTAATGAATCTAGATCAGCAAAACCTTGCAGCCTTCGAGGATCTGAGTAGGTGGAAACTGCCAAAAACTTTAATTTTCCTTTTATTGTTTTTAAAAGCCCCTTCCCCAGCTCCCACACCCCTGAGGCAGAGGAGGCACCAACCCAGTCTGCAGCCCTGAGCTTGGCCCTGGATGCATGCCGCAGGCGGACAGAGGGGGTGGATGCCTTTGTAGAGGGATGAAATGGGAAGAAGGCCCACGCTGGTCAATGTAGGAGAAAGGAAGGGACAGGGAAAAGCCAGGGACTAAAGAAAAATTAAAAACTCAAAACAAAAGCAAACAAAATCCCTACCACACACCACAACAATTTTCCATATCCCAAATGCTAGACTTGGAAGGACATCAGTCCCTCTAGCTAGAAACAATTCCTAAAACTGCCCCAACATGGCAAGTCTAACTGTCTCATACAATTTTACACGCATATGCTTAAAAGGAGCAACCCAGCAAAAAGGCGTGCTCTTGGCAAGAGAGGTCAGGACCACTGCAGCCAGCCCCTCAGCATTCCATAGGTAGAGCAGGCCAGTGGGTGTGGAGAAGGAAGCCTGTGGGATTGACAATAGCTCTGGTGCAATGGCTGGCATAGCTTAAATCCTTGCCCAGTCACCCCAAATGAGACTGCTGCAGGAGGAAGTGGGTGTTTGCATGAACTTTGGGGGACTGGAGAGCAGTTAAGAGGTGAAAGGAGAGTGGGCCTCTGTGGAGCCTGCAAGACCCAAGAGACCTCAACCCAGAGCAGTCATCAGTGGAGATGGGGAAGGCAGGAAACAGACTTCCTTTACAACACTGAGGGATTTACATTTAAAGCAAAACAAGAAATTTCTTAGCTAAAACATTTTGGTGCTTTTAAATAAACCCAGTCTGACACAACCCCAACTGAGGACAGCTGTCCCCGTACTTCTACTGGTCACTCCAGCACGAACTTCCATTCCCTAATGATGCCAACAGCCTTTCCATCCATGAGGAAAACCAAGAATGTGAGAACCAGGTCCTGGTCAATCGGTTCTTCAGCCTTAACAGGCAATAAACAGAGGTGCAGTGGGTGGGGGTGGGGATGGGAGTGGAGGAGAGGGGAAGGATAAAAAAACAAAAAATAAACAAAACCCCCCACAAACAAACAGAAACAAAACCCTCGAAACAAGAGGGGACAGCTAAGTGAGGATTAACCAGAGTTCCCAGGAGGGCGAGGCAGGCCTCAGTGCCTCCGCATCTTCACCTTTCTGGTGGGGCTGCCTGCCGCCTCTGAGCAGTCCTCCCCAGACTCATAGGACTTGCGCCAGTAGTTTTCAGAGCTGAAGCTACCCCTCCGCCGATGTGTGGGCAGCAGCACTGAGCGCCGGTTCTCTTCCTTGTCCATCTCCAGGATCCGAGGCCTGCAAGGAATGGGGGTAAGATAAAGATGTTATCCAGGAGGTTGGCCGAGGGCCCTGGCCTCCCACCTGTGTGTGTGGCTCTGAAACCCCTCTTTGGGATGACACTGTTGCATGGTGGTTCTCCATGAGGGGTGGCATTGGTAGAAACACCAGCATTGCAGTCTTTGTCCACTAAATATTAGTGGCCATTCCTAGTCTTTGAGACATTTCCCAATTACCTCATGGGACCTACTTGACTCCAAGTCTGGTATTCCAGCACAATGCCAAAGCTGAGTGACACGAGGAGGCCCGCCATCACAGGCTCAAGACCATATGAAGTCTTGCATCTACATCCACTTCTCACTCCTCCCCACTCCCACTTTCTACCTTTCCACCTTCCTCTTCTTTGCTCACCAACCATATAAGGTTCCTGAAATCATTAAGTTCTTCTTGCCTTAGGATTTTTGGTCTATACAGTACCTGTTGTCAAGAATGACTTTCCTGCACAGCTTCCTGATTTTTCCAATATGAGCTGAAACAACCTTCTTCAAAAATCTTCCCCAACCCATATGAAAGGGACCCTGATCTGCTATCTTCCAAGTCGTAAGCATTCCTCCTAACATTTATGTATAATCTATGAGTGGATATGGGTGGGACTGAACAAAAGAAAGTTATTGCTCTTCCCTTATCAGAATCTCAGCCCGGCCCTTTCTCTCTGTGGGTATAGGCAGCTTTCAGGGCTCAGGTGGAAATACCATGAACCCCAGGGGAATCAGACAAAAGGCTCTGGAAAGGCAAGAAATACCAGGCTCCTAACCACTTACCCCCAGACCCCCCCCCCCCCACCATCTCACCCTATAGCCAAGCCATTGGGTGGCTTTGCTGGCTTTTATTAAGGGTCTTAAACTGAGTACCTGTGGGCAGCATCAGGGTCTGCCTTGCGGTGGGACCGTTTGGGTTTCAGAGAGGGGTCCCTGTTGTTTCCTGACAGGCGATCTGAAGCATAGCTGGGTGGTAACACAGAGCTGCTCAGGGACTTTGTTTCCAACCGGGGTGCATCTAATCTTGTCCTGCAAAGGAAAAATGCATGGGTTGCCAGTGGGCCTCTAGTAAGTACACCCCATTAGACCAATTCTTGTTCCAGTCAGGCAGACGGAGACCAGCAGTCTCTGCTCTGTGCTTCAGTCTCTCCAAGTTTCAACTAAAGACTTACTAATACTCTCTGTTTTATGTCCTTATTTAGTAGTAGGTAACAGGAATACTTCTGCTTGGAGAGTTTTAATGATTTGGATCTGTTGCCCCAGGAAAAAGATACCAGGGTCCCCTCTCTGCTGCACAAAGCCACTCTACCCTATCCCACTCAGGTCGAAAGGTTTTCCTGGGGTACCAGGCAACATTTGCTGGTTCCCAGATGCTGATTGAGCCAAGGTCAGAGGGCGTTTAAAGGTAAAATCCAAGGCCCTCCCTGGTGGTGCAACAGGTTAAAGCACAGCACTGAGAAGCTAGCAGCAGCTGCTTTGGTGCAAGTTGGATCCCTGCCCCGAGGTGACCCACATGGCATAGCAGACCTGTCTCTCCTGCAGTTCCCCTGAACAGTGTATTTCAGTACATCTGCCTGTTCTGCTACCACTATGTCTCTGGTGAATCCTCTCACCGCCCACATCTCTAGCCTGTTCCCCAGTTCTTATGCATAAATAAATAAATCTAAATAAGACAAAAATTCAATGTACACTGGGTGTCAGTTTAACGGAACACAGTGAAACATCTAATAAAGGGAATACATTCAAGTATGGATGGGGGAAAAAGAATGGAGAAGTTGAATAGGATGAGTATCTAGGGCAGTGGTCCAAGTCCTTTATGAAACAAAGCCAAAAGGAGCTAACCTGGCAAACCCCAAAAAAGTCCAAGGCTTTTTGCGTGGTAGAGAGAAGGCTGGTGAGTCAGGTTGGTAGCAAGGAGCAAGAGGCCTGGGGTAGGGAGTGATGGGGTATAGCTTCTTATAGACTGCTAGGCACAAAGTAAAACTTCGGTTCACAAGGAAGGACTCAAAGGGTATCCTTACAAGGACACCAAAGGGAAGAGAGTAGGTTGGAAATCTAAGAACTGCCTTGACCTATGTAGGTTGGCATTATTGGAACAACTACATTCAGTCCTCATAGCACTCTCCACTCTATACTGGCCAGCCTGCTGTAAACAGATGGAAGAAATTGGGTCAGAAAGGGTCCTGGAAGCTGTATAAGAAAGGCTTAGCCTAGGTGAGACTACAGACCTTTCAGGTCTTCTTAAATAGGACCCTGATCTGCTATCTTCCAAGTCCTAACATTCTTTCTAACATTTAAGTATAATGTATGAGGGCATCAGTCTGGGTGGGACTGAACAAAAGAAAGTCATGAATCTTCCCTACTTCCCTGTTACAGAGCTCTGAACCTAGACAGCAATCTTTTTCCTGAGTCCAGCATGGGGCGCCTTCTAACCGGGAACCAACGTTTGCCCACCTCAGGCCTAAACCAGTGAGCAGTAGACAGGCTAGGCCATAGTCCATGTCCTTTAGCTCTGGCCTCATAGACTGAGAAGCCTGAGGAACCAAGCTACACTAATTAGGCTACTAATTAGTCTCAGACTCCACCCTGGGAACTTCAGGGCCACAGAAGACCTAGTTGCAAAGGAAAGGCAACCCAACCCTAATGCTACTATTAAAGAGTACAGGCTAGTCATCAGGCCTCTCTCTTCAGTCTCAGTTTTCACATCTAAGCAAAGGAGGGGAAAATGTGATTGGCTCTAGGGCCTCTTTCTGTTCTAAGGGTCTAGAAACTGAAGACAAGTCACCTCCTCCAAGCCTCTCTTTAGAGAGGCTCTGGGAAAACATGGTGCTAGGTATTATGGAGATATTTAAGGTGGGGAGACTCACCCAAGACCCAAGGACTTTTTTTATTTTTTAACAGGACTCTGTCTTATCTATCTGCACTCAGAGATCCAGGCAGCACAGACCAGACCAAATGAGAGAACCCTAAGCCTGACTCAAAAGGACTCCAAGGGTCTGCAGTCTCATGGAAGAAAGTCCCTCCTTAGCACCATAGAGCTATGTCCAACACTAAGACTGCAAAGGTGCCAGACAGCAAGTGTTCCACCTGGACCACTCCCCCAGGGCTGGCTCCTGCTGGCAGAGGCTGAATCCTGGTCCCACACTTCTTGAGCTGGCTATTACAAAGGTGGCCTGCCTGGACAGTAAGGGCCAGTGCTGGTGACTTATCACCACTATCAAAGACACTCGAGTACCACAGGAGACTAGTGGGGCCGGCTGAGGCTATACATACAGGCCAGGGAGCTGGACTAGCTTTGTTTCTCTCTAGTTGCTAAAGGAGGGGGACAGGTATTCTCCACACAATAGCTCTGTTGCTGTACCAGAAATCCAGTCTCCTGAAACCTACTTTGGGGACAATATGAACGTTGAGGTACAAAAGGACTCCTGACACAGATCTTTCTGGCTGTTACAAATACATCTCTAACAGCTGGAAAAGCGCTGACCTGCCTCCAATTCCAAAATTGACTGCAAGAAGCCAAACTACAGCCAGATCCAAGCCCAGAGCCCACCAGCAGCTTAATTTCAGAGCATGAAGACAGTGAACTCCCAAGGAGCAGGCTAGGCTCTTCGGATGTGGACAGAGCCACAAATTTTCAAATCTGGAAGTCCAGTTTTAGAAGTAAGATCTAGGTAGGGCTTGCCACAGGTGGTAACAGAAACAAAGACCTGTGTTTCAGTTCTGAGTCAACATCCAGCAAAGCATCCCAAGTATGTGAGGTGTCAGCCAGGCAGAACACCACACCCATAAGGGTCACGCAGGGTGTCAGGGCAGCCCCCAAGACAAAGCAGGAATTGAGCACAGGTATAGAGAAAGTCAACAGACAAGAGAATTATCAAGGAGAGGGGCTCCTGAAACACACAATCTGAGGCTTCTAGCAGATGTCCCTGCTACTACTCCCAGCCTATAAGATACTCAGGCCCCAAAATGTTCAATCTGGTTATCATCGCGTCATGCCTCATGCATAACCTAGAGTTCCAGGAGCACTCCTGGAACCCTCCACAGATGTCCATCAAACAACAAGGCCAACAAAATGGGAGCTCAGAGACCCATAGTTCAGATGTGCTAAGATCTCAATGTCATCCTCCAGGATACTAGAAGGTCAGACACTAAGCTTGCTGTCCTCCACCTGTACCACTACACAACATACCACCTCCTGCACGATGTGGCTCTGCTCTCCCTTCGTACCTCAAATGGACACAGCTTTCTCAGAGAAAAGCTGTCAGGACCAGAGCAGGGTATGGTGAGAAAAGGGCAAGAGCTTAAATAGCACCACTAGGACCCCAATTTATTGGTGTAAACAGGGCTCAGGTAATTGTATTGGGTGAGGGAGGGTCAGAGCGAGACAAAGAGCCAAAACCAAGTCAGTCTGACTTCCCCAACACCTCGGGGAAGGTTGAGTACACATCAGGACACTCAGGCTCCTGAATGAGTAAGGTTTATCCACAATGACAGACATACACACTGAACCACAGAACAAAGGTAGGCTAATCTTTGGCACAAGAGATAAGAATCAAGGGGAGAGGAGAAAAGGCAGATGTCTCAGAGAAAATAAAACCTCAGGTCTAGCCAAGGGTCAAGGAAACCAAGAGCTGGTCATGCCTCCCCCAGGGGAAAAAGCCCAGAGTATGCCCTCCAGCTCCCCTGGACCTCACCCACATATAAGGTCTCAATTTGAGCTGTTTTCTGCTGTCAAGACAGAGTCTCACCTGGATGCCTGAAGCCCCTTAGTCCAAATGACCAAATTAGCCATTTAGTCACTTGCAAATTCCACATCCCACATTCCACTGCTCACACACCTCAAAGGCTTTCCAGTGCCCTACAGATTTCTCTCACACTACATGAAGTTTTCTCTGACCAGCTTAGTCTTATCAAGCCCTCCACCCCATCTCTTCTCAGTCTCAGGAGCTGCTGACCAAGCAGAGATGGCAGGCCCACAGACTGTAGTTGAGGGTCTGTGGATGAAGGAAGCCTTGTATCAACATTTGATCATCAGGAGGACTTATGAGTCTTAGTGGGCCTTCTTAGTCATTGACAAGTAACTGCCAAGTAAAGTGACTAAAGGCAACATAAACAGACCACTTCTTTGCTTTGGGTGAGGTAGGACTTAGGTAAGAGTGGGTTGAAACTGGAAAGAGCAGCTAGACTGTGCCTGACATTCATTTGCTAAATGTTAACCATGGCTGGTGTGTGCCAGGCTCTGCTCATGCCATCACTGTGATTGTATGGTCTCTTCTCATTCCCTTCAAACTTTGGGGAGACAGTCACCACCTTACTAGGCACTAGTCAACCAGAAAGACTTTCTGGAGAAGTGCCTTCTGAAGGTGGTCAAGGATCTGGACTCAGGCAGAGATAGGAGAGATTTAGGGACAGAGATGCTTCTTACAAACTTGAGGCAGAAGATACCTTTCTTTACAGAGGCTTGGAGTCCAGGGACACTGAGGTAGTCCATTCTAGCACACAGGAGATACTGTTTTGTAGCCAATTACCAAGCCCATCCTATCTACCCTCTCTAAGGTGGTATACTTAACTTTTATTTTTGTACCTGTTTTGTGCTTTCAGGACAGTGTGCACTCTGCCTGTGCAAAGTATGTATGTACCAAGCACCAAAGCAGCAGTATTTCCTATATGCCTGCTTCAGGTGCCTTGTGCATTGCAGAAAAGCTTGTTTCTAAGTCAGTTATCCCTGCTCAAAGATCTTCCAAACTAGCTTTTGATTGAATGAGCTCAAGATAGCTCACTTTCTACTTAAGTCCCTTTCGTAACAGTGTTAATTGATGGGCAGCATTCTACTCAATGCTTGTTATTTAGTGAGGCTTGGCATGGTACAGCATGCACAGTTCTCCGAAACACTGCACATCAGGGAATTGTGGGAAAAAAGGAGTACTTTATCCCTTCCTCCATAGCCCCATCCCAGTGCACTGCTATACCCCCAAAGTGGCCAGTATCTTAGTTCTCTAGCCAGCAACTTAAAGCTTTAACCAAAAAGG